GTTCGCTTCACCTTCTCATATTTTCGATATCTTTAGCTGTTCGCATATCATCAACATCTTCCTCATCTTTGATTTCGTCAATCATATCTTCAGCTCTTTGTTTTATCTCCTCTCATCGTAGCCTTTGTTTTTGATAAAAAGTTAATTTCTTTCTTTCTAATTTAGTCTTATATTTGCTTTTAGGGTCAAAGCAATAACAACAATTGCCGAAATCAGGATTATAGTTCTCATGACCACAGCCTCTAGCATCTAAACAATCAAAGCAAAAGTCATAACCACTGTTATAGAACATTCGACAATAACATCCCTCACACTCTTTCATTTCGTAACCAGTATTTTCATCAATGATAGGCGGGTTTTTAACTAATCATTCTCGATATTTTTGTCTTTTTCTTTCCAGTTCTTGGTTTTTATTCATTAACTTAATTTTCTTTTCCTGATTATTCGTTCGTAGTAGGTATCAACAAATACTTCAAAGCGAGTTTAGACAATCACAATCCAAAACCTTACTTGTAGGCTTCTTGCTCTTTCTGATAACACTCTGCACACTGGAAACCAAAAGCGGAACCAGCAACCATCTTGAAATGAATATTCTCTAATTCTGACTGCTCAATAGTTCGTAAACAAATCAAGCAAGAGGAAATCAGCGATGAGGAAACAATTGCAATCATTAAGTCTTATTAAAATGCAGTTCATGCACTCGAAAGAAAGTCTCAATCCGAATGTGTTTTTAAATTTTTAAACATAAAAATAGAGAAAAAATAACTAATTATGACAACAATTAAAAATAATGCTAGTTCCTTGATAATAATCAAAACTAACCAAAAAGAAAAAGTTAAAGAAATATTAGCAAGAGAAAAAATTGCTTATGAAATTTACAATTCTGAAACTAACTTAGAGGCTAAACTGTCCCCAAAAAACAAAAATGTCCAAGAATTAATAACTTCTCTGGATAGAGCTAGAATAAAGTATTTGGTAATCAATAATAAGTCAAACTAGATGTATTTTTGAGATGAAGAGAAACAAAAATTAGTCAAGAATTGTCCTAATTGTAAAGCAATATTTATTCCTAATCAAGGAGCAAACTGTTCTATTACTTGTTCGGCTCGAAAGTTGGAAAACGAACACAAAAAGGCAGCTAAAAAAATGATTGCTTATTGTTTTCCCAAAAAGAAAGTGAGGGTCGTTTTTCCAGTCACTACTCCTCTTTTATTAAACAATTGAAAATGAGGCTGAACCGATGACGTTAAGCAAATAATTTATATTCCTTGATATACTTTAAGAAGCAAGAAAGAATTTTTTGAGACTAACCCTCATGAAGCCGGACACATCACAGCTTTTGAAAAAAAGTTTATTTCAAGAGAAAGAGAAGTAATTAAAAAAATGTATGATTTACGAGATAAATACGAAGCTTCTTTAATCGAGGAATATGAGTTGCTAAATTATTATGAAGAACATCAAAAAGTGATAGATAAATATCAAGAATGAGAAGGACACGATTATAATCCTTGATACCAAGAATATTTAAATTTTCATAAGCAACTAATTAACTCTATTTACCAAAAATATGCTTACGGAAAAACTAAACCTAATCAGTATGGATTTAATGAAAAAGGCGAAGGAGAGTATAAGTCTAGAGAGAGTGTTGTAAGGAAAGTAAATTAGTTTCTAATTTTGTTTAGGTGGAATTTCTATTTGAGATTGGAGGGAAGTTTCTCCTTTTTCCTCTCCTTGGATAGTTAATTCTTGGGTAGGAATAGTTAAATCTAAAAGACCACTATTTTGTAATCTTT